CAATTTTTCACATTATTTATTATATTCAATTGAAATAATTTCCATTGGCATCTACGACTTTTTGCCAACGATTGGGCAAATCATATATGCCTTTTTGAAAAAAATCTTTATTTTTAAAGTTAATAAATAATTCAAAGTCTTTTATAATATCATTTTGGTTATTGTATTTTTTTTCTTTTAAAAATAATTCATAATTTCGAAAAAGGTAATAATCGGTCGGTGAAATATCGGGTGAATATGGAGGATATGGTAAAATTTCATATTATAAAGAAGTTAATTTGTCAACAGTAATTGAAGCTTTATGTTGTGAGTTATCATGCAGTAATATTGCAGTGCCGATTGAGCAATGCTGGTTATTTTTTCATAAGTTTCTCATGCATGACATCAATTTCACGACAATAAGACATCGCTGTTATAGTTTCGCCTAGTTGTAGAAAGGAATAATGGATCACTCCTTGGGCATTCCACCATATGTTGATCATAATTTTTTTTTGGTGAAATTTCGGTTTCGGGGTGTGTCCTGTGGGTGTATTCTTATCTACCCATTGGTTTGATCGTTTTCGATTATCATACAAAGTACACTTTTCATCACAAGTGATAATTTGGTGTAAAAATGGCAATCGTGTATTGCGAAGCAATAAAGATGCGCACTTGCTTTTGCGGTCGATCATCTGCAATTGCGTCAATTCGTGCGGCACATATGAGTCCAATTTTTTGACTTTATTTATCGCACGCAAATGTTTTATCACAGCTGTATGACTAGTTCCTAGTTTAGACCCAAGTGTTCGACTAGTTGTGTATGGATTGGATTCCATAGTCGTCCTTAATTCCTCGTTATTAATATGGGTCGGTGGTCTTCCTCGAGACTCATTGACGATAATCAAATTGTCAAAACGAAATTTTTGGAACCAATATCGAGCATTTTTTTTATTGGTGGATCCATCTCTGAATGCCTGATTAATATTTCTTGAAGTTTGAGCTGTGGTATGATCTAATTTAAACTCGTATGAGAAGAGTAGATGTAAATCGCGTTTTGTTTCCATCTGGTTTAGGATAAAAATAAAATAAAAATGGGATAAAAACACGAAAAAATTTTACAAAATGAGTAAGAAGAATACCTTTAAGCTTTATAAATTAAAATATCGAGCGCACGTTACAATGTATCTGTCTCAGTCGCAGCTGAACACAGATTAAACAAAAAACGCCTGTTTCATAGTTTCCAACCTAATACATATGGTCATATGTCGAAATTTCATGGTCAAATCACCACATAAAATGATGCATTTTTTCCTTTTTTTGTTATCACTGTCATCATGTAAGATGTATACAATATAAGTACATAATCTTCTGTTTCATCTTCTTATTACTGCATTTATAACTATATTATTACATTACATATTATTATTATAGTAATAGAGATAGTAAAGTAATAATATCATGTGAATTCCTTCCTACAGAAAAAACCATAACAATATAGTGCTGGGAAAAAAATCTTGTAGATGATGTGCGAATTCATGTTTTGATCTTTATTAAAAATAATATATAATATATTTGTTCACTAATTATTAATTATGAAAAAATAATTGACAAATGTATATACTTTACATGCATTTGTCATAGAACAAAATTATATTGCTGTTGTATGTATCCTGTCTAGCACAGATCACCGCGAAATTCATGTCAGGCATCACTGGAGGAAACAAATATAAGAGAATGAATGGATAGTAATACCTTATTAAATTATCAAATAAAAAAAAAAGGAATAAATTATCGCGCGGACATTACTGTTCAAGAAATTTAAACGATAATCTGTGTAAATTAATCGCGATATAAAAGAACATAATTTTCCTTTCAAAAGTTATTATACTTATACGCCTTGCTTGCTTGTTTGGTTTCTTTCAACGATCGATTAGATTAATAATAACGAGAAAGGTATTTGTTAGAAAGGAAACCGTTAACGTTATTTCAGATCCTTTGAAAATATGATTTTTATATAATCTAGTTGTAATATGAATTTCATTGGTCGTCGAGAATATTAAACCTTATCGTTTTTTCGTATTCCTGGTCAAATAATATGTATCTCATTAACAGAAAAGATTATTACGATGCTTGATATACTACTCTTCGTAACTGAAGAAATTCATTTTTCGATAACGTAAGCATTTATGTATATATATACGTATATATGTTACACAAAAGCGAGCGTGCTTTTCCTATTTGAATGTTCGCTCATCGATATTTACGATGTACGAAGTGAAAAAGTAAAGTACTGGAGAAGTATTAAAGAATATTATATCGTATAAACAATAAAGTATTTATATTTTTTTTGTTCCTACTGAGAAACAAACAAATACACAACCTGATAGACAGATAGAAAGCGAGAGAGAGAATGAAATAATTTGTATTTTTTGATTTCAATTATTTCTGGATTTTTTATTTATTAATTTTCTTCTTAATATTCTTCTTCTAATTAATTATAACCAATCAATCACTTAAGCCGATTCAGACCTTTTGTCCTCGACATGATTGAGTGTGATCGGTGAGATTCAAAAATTTACTTACTACTTAAGAAGTTCCCAATGACTCCAAAACATTCCTCCGCGAAATTGAGGGTAATTGATTCGTAGCTAATTGAATAGATCGTCATCGAAGTTGGTTGAACTCCTCTTTAATGGTGCACTGACTCTAATATGCACTAGTTATTTTTTAACGGACAATCACTGAATTTATTTCGCGAAACTCTATTGTCTTTTATAAAGACAGCTTTTACGACTGTTAAGGAAGCGCAAACTTTGCGAACAAACAAAAACTCGCATGGACTGCATTGCACGCAGTCGATGCAAGTTCACTTGTCTTTTAAATCGCGACACGCGACGAACGAACACTGCTTCTCCTTCAAGATATTTATGTACATTTTAGTGATACAAGCACTAGATTTGTTATCATTGCTTTACGTGCGTTTGTAATAATGTTCCGCAACAGAAAAACAAGAACTACTATACTAGTATCGTTGTCCTTAGAATGTATTGTACAATATTGTACAAGAATGTATTGTACAAATTATTTAGCAAATGCTTAATATAAAAATATATTTACTTTAAGTTATTACTTTGAAATATGTACGAAGAACATCCTGAGAGAGAGTTCCTATGTTTATTGTTTTTGTTTACATTCCAAGTAGTCAATGCAACTGCGCCATTGAAATTGTTAAGTATAGTCTATGCAATATAAATTAAAATTATATTAAATGAAGGCAAGGAGTTAGAGTACTAAATTTAACTTATCGATATTTCAAATAAAAGTTATTGTGTATACTTAACGCTTATTCCGAGCTATGAAAAGTTTCAGTGAATCTACAGTTGTTTCAATATTTGTTTATTGTTTTGCGTTAAAGATCGTCTAAATAATTGGAAAATTATCAAACTTATAAATTACTGAAGCTTAACCATATAGAAAATGAGTATCTCTATATTCTTCAATCTTTTCTATATTATACCTGTATATACCTTGTCTCATTTCTACCAAGATTTTAGAATTTAATGAGTGTATGTATGAAGTGTTGTTTAGAGTAGAATGAACGTTGTTTTCTTCTTTTCTGTAAGCAAAATTTTTGAAATAATAGTTAAAATATGTAAATATTTATTTATTAGTATCAATGTTGTTAGAAAAAATTGTACAAATTATTTAACAAATTTTGAATATAAAGATATATTTACTTTGATACTTGCACGAATCACATAATGAGGGTGCTCCGATGTTTACTGTTTGTGTGTCAAGTATAAATTTTTTGAAATATATATTTCTTACTTCCAGATTATTATCAACAGAAAAAGTTATTTAAAGCCTTGTTTACTGCAATATTCAATCAATGTGCTACATCAGCTCGAAATCACCAGTCGTGATAATTTTCTATTTTCTCAGATTCCAATTGTCCTTCGGCACATACTGTTTGGTTCAGTCTATAAAACAATTAACAATTCTAAAAAAGATACGTTGTAAGATCATTAAAATAATTCTCTGATTTTATATCTTACATAGCATATCGTTGAAGCGTGAGGCAGAATTCGAACAAATTATTACTAAGCATTAATTGAGAATCATTATTACTATCGATTTCTATGCGTTTAAACCTCGGCCAGTACAACTTCCACAGCATGCACGCATGTATATGTAAATTATTTTTTTCTTTTTTTTTCATATATAATATACAATGTGCTTCTATAATGGAAAATAATTATTCTACAAAGTAAATTTCTACAAATTAACGAATATATAACATAAAATAAATTCCAATAATAACTTATTTGATGAATATAGCCTGTCGTAACAATCTTCGTAAATCTACTCCAATTAAATGTATTTTACTTTAATTTGATGTCTGAATAATATCTTCGTTTATTCTTCGGAATAGTACTACTTGCTATGTGCTCAAATCTTTTAATATAACAGTATACATTAAAAGATATACTACTTGCTTTGTAATCAAATTTTTTAATATAACAGTATATATTCTTAGAATAACGGGTGTTACATACATCCAGATCGCCTAATAATCGCATAAAAGAAAGTAATTATAAATTATCGAAGAAACAAATCACTTATTGACCATTAACTTTTCACTGACTCTAAATAACGTGAATTGTCGATAAAATTGATTACATTTGACGATTTATAATTTATCATGATAATTATGAGATGTGACGGTTAAAATCATGTGATTGTAAAATAATAATTTAGAAGAAACATGGCTAAAATTTTGGTTCTAAATTTAAAAAATAATGTAAAGCGTTCGACAAGGATGTATATACAAATGATTGTGAGCATAACTTTACTACTAACAAGTTGCAAAACTTCTCCATGATATAAGTACAAAAGAAAAGAGAAAAGAAAAAAGAAAAGAAAAAAAATTAAAAATAGAAAAAGAATGTAAAATCAATGATAATACTTTCACAAATAAGATTAAAAGTTCACACAACGAGGTATATATATTTCTCTCTGTAACCTCAACGATTACTCTCATATGTCAATGGGTTGGGTACAATCTGAAGAAAAAAAGATAAAAAAAACTTTAATAACAGTGTTATACTCATACAAATGAATAAATGTTATTCAACATAAAGTGCAAGTAGAACTAATGATAAGGCTTGATGCTTGAAAATATAATCAATTTTAAATCCTTATTTTTGGTTCAGGATGATAACGACAAAAATGCTACTAAATCACGTTCAAGATTTAAACGAATGGTACATTAATTATTTTTTCTTTACAATCATTCTTTTGCTGCATTCATATTTGTAAGTTCATGCATATTCTATAAATAATTCAATTTTTCTTCAATTTGAATAGTTAAATGGTCCGTTGTCAATATTTTATACATATAATCAGTAAAATTGCGAAATCATTTAGTGGACGAACCAAATCTGAAAATTAATCATTTCCTATCTTTTCCAGAGAGTTTGTTAAATTATTAGAACTTTATTAGGTAACATTTCCAGCGGCACAGAACATATTTATTTTTTCCATGAATTCTAAAACATTATATTCTAGCGAATAACAATTGTAATAGATTACTTGTTAAACAACAAAAAAAGACCCTTATATAAAGTATATCTGTAAATTATCATTATCATTATGATTATCATTATCATTATCATTCTTATCATCATTATCATAATTATCATCATCATTATTATCTTCATTATCATCATCAATATCACCATCATTATCATCATCATCATCATCATCATCATCATCATCATCATCATAATCATCATTACTATCATTATTATTATCATCATTATCATCATCAACTTCGACATCTTTAGCATCATCATTATCATTCCCATTATCATCATCATTATCATCATTATCATCATCATCATTATCATAATTATCATCATCATCAGCATCATCATAGTTATTATTATTATCTTTATTATTATCATCATTATTTTCATTATTATCCTTATTATTATTATTTCCATTATAATCATCATCTTCGTCATCTTTATCATCATCGTCATCCTTATCATTATCATCATTAGTATCATCGTCATTATCATTATCATAATCATTATTAATATTATCATCATTATCGTCATCGTTATCATCATCAATATCATCATCAATATCATCATCAATATCATCATCATTATTATTGTCATTATTATCATTATTACTATATCCTCGTCATCTACATCGTTATCATTATCATTGTCATCACCATCGTCACCATCATTATCATTCTCAGTATCATCATCATCATCATCGCCATCATTATTTTCATCATTATTATCATCAATATTATCATTCTTATTATTATTATTATTATAACCATCACCATCATCCGCATTTGCAACTACATTATCATCATCATTATCATCATCATTTTCTTCATCATCGTCATCATTATTATTATTATCATTATTATTATGATTATCATCATCATTATTATCAATATCATCATCATTATCATCATTTTTATTATTATCATTATTTAATTATTATTAATATCATCATCATCATTATCATTATCATCATACTTATCATCATCATCATTATAATTATCATTAACATCATCAATATCATAATCATTAACATTATCAGTATCATCATGATAATCATCATCTTCATTATTATTTCCATCATTATTATCATCATTATTTTCATAATTATCATTATCACTATTATCATTATTATAATCATTATTAGCATCTTTATCGTCATCAGTATTATCACCATTATTATCATCATTATCTTCATCATTATCCTCATCATTATCAATATCATTATCATCATCATTAACGTCATCATTAACATCATTCTTACCATCATCATTATCACGATCATCATTATCATTATCATCATTATAATCATAATTATCATCATAGTCATCATTATCATCATCATTTTCATCATCATGATCATCATTATTATTATAATCATTATTATTAATACTAATATCATCATCAACCTAATTAGCTATCTCCATTATCATTATCATTATCATCATTATTAATATTATCATTATTATTATTATTTTTATCATCATCATCATTATCATTATCATCATCATTATTATCAACACAATTATCATCATTATTATCATCATTATTACCATTATTATTATTATTATTTTCATCAACATAATCATCATCATGATCTGCATTGTAATCACCAACATCATCATCATTCTTATCATCATTGTTATCATGATTATTATTATTATTATTTTATCATCATCATCACTGTCATCATCATTATTTTCATCATTATTATCATCATTATTATCATTATTATTATTATTATCATCATCAGCATCACCATCATTAGCATCTTCATTATCATTATCATTATCATTATCATTATAATCATAATTATCATTATCGCCATCATCATCGTCATCATTATCATCATCATTATTATCATCATCATCATCAATATCATCCGTATCATCATCATCATCATCATAATCATCATTATTAACATTATTATTATCATCATTATTACCATCATTAACATTATTATTATTATTATCATTATCAGCGTCATAATCATCATTATTATCATCATTATTATCATCACCATAATTATCATCTTTATCGTTATCATTATCATTTTCATCCTTATTATCATCCTTATCATTATTATCATTATTATTATCATCATTATTATCATCATTATTATCATCATCATTATCATTGTCATCATCATTAGCATCAACATCATCATTATCACTCTTCTTATTATTATTATTAACATTATCTTTATCATCGTCATTATTCACATCGATATCTTCTTAATTATCATCATTCTCAATATCATTATTATCATAATTATTATTTACATTATCATCATCACTATCATCATCATCATCGTCAATATCATCATTATTACCATCCTTATCATAATTATCGTTATTATTATCATCATCATCATAATCATCATAATTATTATGATCATTAACATCATTATTATCATCTTTATCATTATTATCATTATTATTGTCATCTTCATTATCAACATTATCATCAGCTTTATCATCATCATCATTATCATTATTGTCATGATCATCATCATCATCTTTACCATCATCATTATGATCACCAGTATCATCATCATTATCATCATCATCATAATCGTTATCATCGTCAGTATCATTATCATCATCATTATCATCATCATCATTATTTTCATCGTTATTATCATCATTATTATCATTATTATTATTATTATTATAATCATCAGCATCATCACCATTTTCATTTTAAACATAATTATCATCATCGCCATCATTATCATCATCAGTATCATTATCATCATAAATAGCATCATGATTATTATCATCATTATTATCATTATTGTCATTATTATTATTATTATTATCATCATCATTATTATCATCATTATATTCATAATTATCTTCATCGTCATCATTATCATCATCATTTTCATCATCATGATCATCATTATTATTATAATCATTTTTATTATTACTATCATCATCATTAAACTTATTAGCATCTCCATTATCATCATCATTATCATCATTATTAATATTATCATTATTATTATTATTATTGTTATCATCGTCATTATCATTATCGTCATCATTATTATCATCACTATTATCATCATTATTATCATCATTATTATCATTATTATTATTAATATTATTAATATTATTATTATAATTATTATCATCATTATCATCATCGTTATTATCATCATTATCCTCATTTTCATCCTCATCATTATCATTATCATTATCATGATTATCACCTTAATCATTACCAACATCATTATCAACATCATTATCATTATCATTATCAGGATCATCATCTTCGTCATCATTATCATCATCATCATCATAATCATTAACGACATCGTTGTTGTTGTTGTTGTTGTTGTTGTTGTTGTTGTTGTTGTTGTTATTATTATTATTATTATTATTATTATTATTATTATTATTATTGTTATTATTATTATTATTATTCGAGTAAGTAGGGGGAAGTAGAATACTCTCACAGTACTCTCTGCTTGTCATAAGAGGCGACTAAATGGGACTGTGTGAATGGCGTGTGAATGTTCTTGAACGGCTATTCCTTCCTTTTTTTTCTTATAATGTCTTTACTCTCTAGCTTCCTTCCGTTCCTTTCCTTTCTATTGGTGATCTTGCCTCCCAATAGTACATTACTCATGATGCATAGTACAACGAAAGAGAATAGCGGGCGTGGAAGGGACACCCACGCCACGGCGGTGTTTGGTGGTGGTAGGGTTGGCCACCCGCCGTCGTCATCCAGCAACTGCAAAGAGTTTTGGGTAGGCAACCTGGCCCCAGCTCTGGATAATGCATCATGAAGTGCACCACAGTTAGGCGACCTGGTCTGCGTTATGACGAAAATGCCAGGAAGGGTAAAATATGACGAAGGCCACTTGGAGCTGTGGCAGAAGGCTGCCAGAGCTGTTGATGGCTTTCAGTTTTCCGTCTTTACCGCACCTATCCTGCCTGCGAAGAGGACAACTCAAGATGGAGAGAGTGAGAAATTCGCGCAAGGAAAATCCCTCCTTGCCAAAATGAATTCAGCTATTACTAGACAGCCTAACGTGAACAACGCTATTAAGCAAGGACTCCCAGAACTTGAGGACATTATTGACAGTCTCGAGTTTATGTATAAATCTCGAAAAAATGTCAATAAGGGAACGAGGACACTCGCCCGATTTCTCAGAGCCCTAGGGCAAACTCTATAATAGATGCTGGAGCGGTTAAAAGAGTAGCCACAAGCCAGCCGCAGATAAACAAAGAAAGCCTCAAAAGACCAAGGCAAGAGGAGATGACGTCCGAAGCCACCACGTGGACGGAGGTCGTCAAGAAGAAAAGAAATAAGGAAAAACCAGCGAAAAAGACGACGAAACACCCACAACAGGAGAAAAAGTAATTGAGCAATTCGGAGGTCAGGCCAAGAAAGAGAACGAAGTTGGACGCGAACCTGCTGAAACCTGCGTAAGGTAAATCTTACGCAGACGTGGTCAGTGCTATCCACCAGCGTATCAAGACCAGCGCCGCAGGGGTAGACGTTAGATCGATCCGGCAGACCGGAGGGGATTTCAACGAACTAAAGAAGACCACTGTGGATATCAGGGCCTCATTCGCGGAAACCCTGAAAAAGCGGTAGGAGAAAAGAGCAGCATTACGGAACTGGTCCCTAGAGCTACACTGGAGATACGGGACGGTGACTGCTGCACCTCGTCGATAGAAGTCGAGGAGGCACTAATGAGGACCCTGCTATGCTATGCGGGGAAAATCGAAATTAAGATGACGAACACCAACGCAAGACAACAACACCTGTCCCTCGTCAAAATAGAAGAGGAAGCAGCTGCGAATCTTTTAAAGGCCGGCCGAGTGCTGGTCGGGTTTGTCAGCTGGAAGTTCATGCAAAGGGCAGAAGTGAGGCGATGCTACCGCTGTCTCGACTATGGTCACTATACTGCCTCGTGCAAGGGACCTGATCGCAGTAAGTTTTGCTATTCCTCTGGCGGTACGGGGCACAAGATCAAAGAGTGCAAGGTCAGCGAGCCTACGTGCATCTTGTGCTCAAATGGCGTTGTTGAAACTAGGAATCACCTGGCGAGATCAAGGGCCTGCAAAGCTTTCCAGGAGGCCCTTGCAACAGCAGAAAAGTAAAAAATAGGATGGGAGTACTTCAGGGTAACCTCAATAGGAGCAGGACGGCGCATCACCTTCTAGCCAAGATCTGCTCTGAGAAAAAAGCTGATGTTGTTCTAATCAGCGAACAGTACCAGGACAGAGAAGGAGTACGATGGTACGCAGACGAATTGGGCACCGCGGCCATCTGGATCCCAGATCCCAGTCAGATACATGTGTCAGGTCAAGGATCCGTACGCGGTTACGTTTGGTTGAGACATAACTCGACGACTTATGTCAGTGTATATCTCACGCCGAACGACTTCCAGATCAAACTGGACGATCTGGAAATCGCTTTGCGTGAAATGCAAGGGTATTTCATTGTGGCTGGAGACCTCAATGCCAAAGCTCTCGAAGGGGGAGAGGCCAGGCCGGACTCCAGAGGAAGACGTATCATGGAGGTGGCGTCGAAACTGGAGCTATCAGTACTCAACACACGATCGACGTCAACCTTCCGCAGTCCTAGATATAGAGAGACGATCATGGATGTCTCTCTAGCCAACGCACACCTTGTGGCAACAGTCGCAGGCTGGCAGGTGACCGAGGATTATACCGGGAGTGATCATCAGTACATCCTATTCGATGTACACGTTAGGAGGCCAGCCGCGATAAGTGTAGAGAGACCACCCCGGTGGAACATTGCAAGAATGGATCGAGAGAGGCTGTCGTCATTCATAGATGAAAGTTGGAGTTCCCTTCAAATTGCCTCCACGAGTCTATCGCCAATTAAACAAGCCTGGATGATTACTGCAGCAACTATGCAACTCATCTAAAAGGCTTGCACCATAGCGGTCCCCAAGAAGTGCACGAAACGGCACAGTCGTTCTGAATTCTGGTGGACGAACGAGATCGCAGATCTTCGCAAGAAGTGCTTAAGACTTCGCCGTATAGCACAGCGAGCGAACTGATTCGATCTCGACGCTGCTCCTTTGGCCGCAGAGTACCAAGCGGCCAAAAAAGATTTGAAGACGACAATCATGGACAGTCAACGACGGTGCTGGAAGGAGCTGTGCCTGGATGTCGACTAAAATCCGTGGTGATTAGGTTATCAGATCGTCACTCGCAAACTGGGGGCTAACACGCAAGGAATCCCTCAGGATGCGAGGACGTTCAAAAACATAATTCATAACCTATTCCCCTCACATCCGAAAAGAGAGATTCACACGGCGACAACAGTTAGCCCTGAAGGGCCGCGATTCACATAGGAGGAACTACTCAAGGCCGCATCTTCTATGCGGAAGAGGAAAGCTCCAAGACCAGTCGACCTTCCAGTTGAAGTAATGAAAACCGTCGCGCAGAGTCATCCCAAGCTCTTGCTAAACATGTACAACATGTGTCTCAGGGAGGGAATCTTCACAGCCCAGTGGAAGAAAGCCAGACTTGTGCTCATAAGCAAGGGCAAGGATCCAGCAGATGCCGCTTTGTCAGACAGGTCTATTTGTATGCACGATACAGCTGGCAAGCTCCTGGAGAAGCTATTTAGGCCACGGCTGCACGCAGTCTTAAGTGCAGCGGGGGATCTTGCTGCCCGCCAGTATGGATTCCGATCCGGCCTCTCCACCATCCAGGCAGTCCAGGAGGTCGTCACGGCCGCTAAAATGACGGAGCGAGGGAACCATATAACTCGCCCTTTGTGTCTGCTGGCCACCATAGACGTGAGAAATGCCTTCAACTCCGTCAGGTGGGACTTGGCAATGGAAGCGCTCAAACGTAATTTCAGCGTCCCGGAGTACCTACTCCGAATACTTGGGGACTATCTGAACGAGCGCTTCCTAGAATACATTACTGGCGATGGTCCAAGAAGCTTGGAGTTTACATCGGGGGCAGCCCAGGGCTCCATACTGGGGTCGCATATTTGAAATATTTTCTACGACGGTGTCCTACGTATGGCAGTCACTGAAGGCGCTTTCTTGGTTGGGTACGCAGATGACCTTGCAGTTGTCATAACTGCAAGAGACACGGAGGGGGCACAGCTGCTGCTCAACTAGGTCATGTGCAGAGTCATCTCCAGAATGGAAGATCACGGTCTATCTCTGGCAGCCCAGAAGGCTGAGATCGTGCTACTACGAAGAAGCGCATCAACACCTTGCGCAGCTTCATTGTAGGAGACACGGCGGTCCAGGCTAAGTCGGCTGTCAATTATCTGGGTATAATGTTAGACAAAAACCTTAATTATGGCGAGCACATACTCAGGGCAGCCGACAAAGCGGCAAAAGTAGTAGTCTCGCTTGGCAAACTCATGGCAAACGTCAACGGGCCCCGGCCGTGAATGAGGAGACTACTGATGCGTGCCGCCGAAGCTGTGATGCTGTACGGTGCGGAAGTATGGGCCGAGGCGCTGCGAAAACAGAAATACCGCAAGCGCATTGCCGCGGTACAGAAGAGGGGCGCCCTCCGAATCACGTGCTCTTACCGAACAGTTTCAGAGCCGGCAGTGCTAGTTGTCGCCGGGGTAATCCCGATCGATCTATTAGCCCAGGAGAGGAAATTAGTCTTCCAGGAAAGGTGTGTCCTGGGAAAGGAGAGGGCATCAAGGCTCGCCAGTTCTATCAGCATCAAGGCCTGGTAAAGTAGATGGGAGCAGTAGGGGCAGATGGATTGCCCGACTCATCAGTCAGCTAGACAACTGTATCAATTGGGAGGCGGGAGAAGTTGATTTCTACCTCACCCAATTCCTAAGAGGGCATGGCCTGTTCCGCTCCTACTTGTCTAGAATGAGGAAGGTAGCAGACGCCAACTGCCCCTATGGGGTCTCGATCAACGACGACGCATACCACACATTTTTTTTACGTACTCAGTGGAACGCCGAACGACTAGACTTGGAACAAGACCTTGGAGACATCTCGCCGGACAACGTCGTCGAGAAAGTGCTGCGTCGGCAGGAGTGGAACAAGGTGGCCTGGTACGTCAGGTCAATCTTAAGCAAGAATTAAGGAGATGGGGGACCCATAGTAAAGCCACCAACGTTGCTCCTGGTTCCTGCCACGTAGAGCCGAAGAGGGAGTCCAGTTATAGGACGAGAAGCAGTTGCGCCATCTTGAAGTAATGCCACATGGCGGTGCCGGGATGGTTTAACTATGCCTCTAGGATGGATATGAGTTTAGTCGGTAGTGCCTATTCCAACCGTGAACCCGACCCTCCACGGACTTTAAATGGGACACAAATGGTGAAGGGTCCCTCTGGCGGGCAGAGTCCCTGGGTTAGTGGGTAAAATTTGGCATTCTCTGACCATCAAAAAAAAATCATTGTTTGTTATATTATTATTGATATTTTATTATTTATATTATTGTTATTCTTACTATTATTATTATTGTTATTATTATTATTATTGTTATTGTCATTAATATTGTTATTATTATTGTTATTGTTATTATTATTATTTTTGTTACTGTTATTATTATTATAATTGTTATTGTTATTATTATTATTATTGCTATTGTTATTATTATTATAATATTTTTTATTGTTTTTACTATTGTTATTGGTATTGTTATTATTATTATTATTGTTATTATTATTATAGTTTTTGATATTATTATTATTATTGATATTTTTATTATTGTTGTTATTGTTATTATTGTTATTGTTATTATTGTTATTGATATTATTATTGATATAGTTATTATTATTATTATTGTTATTGTTGTTACTATTATTATTTTTATTGTAATTATTATTATTTGTATTATTCCCCCCAGTGGGTAGGGGGAAGTAGAATAATCACACAGTACTCACTGCTTGTCGTAAGAGGCAACTAAAAGGGACTATGTGAATATCGTGTCAATGTTCTTGAACGGCTATTCCTTCCTTTTTTCTATTATCATATCTTTTTCTATTCTTTCTCTTACTCTCTAGCTTCCGTCCGTTCCTTTCCTTTCTATTGAGAATATTTCCTCCCAAATGTACTTTACACATGATGGATAGTACAGCGAAAGAAAATAGCGGACGTGAGAGGTACACCCACGCCATAGCGGCGTCTGGTGGTGGTAGGGCAGGCCTCCCGCCGTCGTCATCCAGCAACTGTCAGGAGTTTGGGGTAGGCAACCTTGCCCCAGCTCTGGACAATGCATCAGGAAGTGCATTACAGGTAGACGACCTGGCCTGCGGTGTGACGAAAGTGCCAGGAAGGGTATAATATGACGAAGGCCAATTGGAGGTGTGGCAGAAGGCTGCCAGTGCCGTTGATGGCTTTCAGTTTTCCGGTTTTACCGCACCTATCCAGTTTGCGAAGGCTACTACCCAAGATGGAGAGAGTGAGAAATTCGCGCAAGCGACATTCCTTCTTGCCAAAATAATGTCACCTATTACTAGACAGCCTAACGTGAACGACGCTATTAAGCAATGGCTCCCAGAACTTGAGGACATTATTGACAGTCTCGAGTTTATGTATAAATCTCGAAAAAATGTCAATAAGGGAACGAGGACACTCGCCCGATTTCTCAGAGCCCTAGGGCAAACTCTATAACAGATGCTGGAGCGGTTAAATGAGTAGCCACAAGCCAGCCGCAGATAAACAAAGAAAGCCTCAAAAGACCAAGGCAAGAGGAGATGACGTCCGAAGCCACCACGTGGACGGAGGTCGTCAAGAAGAAAGGAAATAAGGAGAGACCAGCGAAAAAGACGACGAAACACCCACAACAGGAGAAAAAGTAATTGAGCAATTCGGAGGATAGGCCGAGAAAGAAAACTTGGCCGGATGCAATCCACCTGAAACCTGCGCAAGGAAAATCTTACGCAGACATAGTCGGAGTCATCCACCAGCGCATCAAGACCAGCGCCGCAGGGGAAGACGTTAGATCGGTCCGGTAGACCAGAACCGGAGGAGTTCTCCTCGAACTAAAGAAGACCACTGTGGATATCAGGGCCTCATTCGCGGAAACCCTGAGAAAAGAGGTAGGAAAAACGAGCAGCATCACGGAAATGGTCCCTAGAGGTACACTGGAGATACGGAACTGTGACTGTTGCACCTCGTCGATAGAAGTCGAGGAGGGCCTAAAGAGGATCCTGCCAGGCTACGCGGGGAAAACCGAAATTAAGATGACGAATCCCAACGCAAGACAACAACGCCTGGCCCTCGTCAAAATAGAAGAGGAAGCAGCTGCGCAACTTTTATACGCCGGCCGAGTGCTGATCGGTTTCATCAGCTGCAGGTTCAGGCGAAGGGCAGAAGTGAGGCGATGCTTCCGCTGTCTCGACTATGGTCACTACTGTGCCTCGTGCAATGCACCTGGTCGCAGTAAGTTTTGCTATTCCTGCGGCAAAACGGGGCACAAGATCAAAGAGTGCACGGTCAGCGAGCTTACGTTCTTCACGAGCTTTTTGTGCTCAAATGGCGTTGTTGAAAATAGGAAGCACCTGGTAGGATCAAGGGCCTGTAAATATTTCCAGGAGTACGTTGCAACAGCCAACAAGAAGAAAAAAGGATGAGAGTACTTCAGGGTAACCTGAATAGGAGCAAGACAGCGCATCACCTTCTAGCCAAGATCTGCTCTGAGAAAAAAGCTGATATTGTTCTAATCAGCGAACAGTACCAGGACAGACCAGGAGTAGGATAGTACGCAGATGAATTGGGCACCGCGACCATATGGATCCCAGATCCCCGACTAATACATGTGTCATACCTAGGTTTCGGACGCGGTTACGTTTGGGTGAGTCATAACTCGAGGACTTATGTCAGTGTATATATCACTCCGAACAAACGGATAAACGGCTTCCAAACCAATCTGGACGATCTGGAAAACGTGCTGCGGCAAATGCGAGGGGATTTCATTGTGGCTGGAGACCTCAATGCCAAAGCTCTCGAATGGGGGAGGCCAGGCCGTTCTCCAGAGGAAGACGTATCATGGAGGTGGCGTCGAGACTGGAGCTATCGGTACTCAACACAGGTTCGACGTCAACCTTCCGCAGGCCTCGCTATAGAGAGACGATCCCGGATGTCTCTCTAGCCAACGAACACCTTGTGGCAAGAGTCGCAGGCTGGCAGGTGATCGAGGATTATACCGGGATCGATCATCAGTACATCATTTTCGATGTACATGATAGAATACCAGCCGTGACAAGTGTAAAGAGACAACCCCG